CTTGGTCCGTCAATCCATGTTTGTGATTGTGTCAAGTTTCTGGCTTTCATGCCTCTGCTTGATAGATCCGCTGGGTTTTCTGTGGTCTTTACATACTGTTCATCTGATCAGTTGGGACTCGAATGGCATATCCCTTTTGGATTACAGTATCCATGAAGGCCTTGTAGTCTTCATAGAACTTTGGATCCTTTTTGAGTTTCCTCTGCAAACTAACCATGCGCTGTTCTGCGAGACATCGGTTGTTCGGCATTGGCAGTTTGTCATTCTTGAGTGGCAATCCAATGCAGTAGTGTCCGTTCACGAAGGTAGTTGTTTTATCCACAAACTGCATGAACTGCTTGTCGTCTTGAGACATTTCTTCTTTGTCATCGTAGTTACGCTCTGGGAAATCAGTGTTGTACTGTTGTACCAGTAGCCTTTCAATTTCCATCACTGTGATCCTATTCACTGAACTGTGATGTTTGTTGTCATCGCCTTGTGGTTCTTTTCTTAGGAGGCCATTCACGACCCAGCCAAGAGCAGTCTTCACCGCATAGGGTCCTCTGTTTCGACTGTTTATAACGTGCCATGGCTCCATTGCTCTTGGACAATTTGCTCCAATAAGCAAGCCAACATCTGCTTTTATTTCTGGCACTCGCACTTCGTGAAGATAGGGCCACTTCCGTATTTCTGATGGCTTGGGGATGTTCTCATTGTGCACTGGTATACTACCATGGGTGTACGCCTTGGGTAGCTCAATGAATCTGTTTTCTTCCAGGCCACATACCTCCAAGTCTGATATCACATAACTGTTTGTGCACTTTGGTCCTTCCGATTCTTCTTGACTCAAGGTGCTCAAGAGTATTTGGGTTGGTTTCCCATTAACGTTTAATTTTTTGCGCAGGGCTTCTGTTATGAATGTTGCCGTGCTTCCCGGATCCATGAAAGCATATGTTTCGATGTGCTTGTCGCTCTTTCTCGATTTGATTCTCACCAGTATAATTGACAGCACGCAATCACTTTCACCGGCCCCGGTGAGGCAAGCTGCCTCTCGTTCTACTGTAGCTTGAGGGCTTGAATGTTCTTGAGCATCATTTTCCTGGGAGGCCAAATCTTCTTCTTTAACTTTGTGTAGAATGTCTGGGTGTTTTAAAGCACATTCCTTACACTCTGTTCTTTTCTTGCAAAACTTACTAATATGACCCATAGCCAAGCATCCGAAGCACAAGCCTTT